AACTATAACATTTCCACTTTTCCTTCAGTGGTTCTCGGTGGGCTAAAGGACCACCTGAAAGAAATCAAGCGTTGCAGACGGCTAATCATGATTGGCTGCGGCACAAGCTTCCACGCTGCGTTGGCTGTGAGTCGAGCTATCAATGGGACACGCATGATGATGATCATATTGTAACAGTCTGAGACAGTTATGATTAGTAAAAGTAAAGTTCAGAACATTAAATGACTCTTTGTATGGACAGTGATGATGATGATGATGATGGTGAAAGTGGTGGTAGTGAAATTGCTGCATTTGTTGTCCCCTAACTTTTCAGACCAGACAGATCCTTGAGGAGCTGACAGAGCTGCCTGTCATGGTGGAGCTGGCAAGCGACTTCCTGGACCGCAACACGCCTGTTTTTAGAGACGATGTTTGCTTCTTCATCAGCCAATCAGGTAAAAGCACAACACAAAGACACAAAAGTCCTGTCCGTACAGTCTTTCAGAGCTCTTATTTTTGTCTCATAAAGTCACTGGTTTAGTTTTCTTGCTAAGCTAAGCTTGCTAAACATGGTACGGTACTCTGTGAAACCTGTTGATAGAATCATCATCTTTTTTTTCCCCCTCCAGCTGTGGCCTTATTTTGCTGTAATTGTGCATTGTAAGTATATCTTTTCTTTCCCTCTGCTCCCTCAGGAGAGACAGCAGACACCCTGATGGCATTACGCTACTGCAAGAACCAAGGTGCTCTGACAGTTGGAATAACCAACACTGTGGGCAGCTCCATTTGTAGAGAAACAGACTGTGGAGTCCACGTCAATGCTGGGCCTGAGATAGGAGTGGCTAGCACGAAGGTATAGTTTATACTGCACATCCCATAGGTTATAAAATCTTTTCAAAATCTGGCAACAGCTCTATAAATAATAAAAAATGTTTTTCAAACTAAATATAAGTTGTCCAGCAGTAAAGATACGGCAGGCAATTTATTTCAGAAGCCTTTTTTGTAATATTTCTTGAAATTCTCTTTACATCCTGACAGCAATCAATAAATCCACCTTTAATGATATAATTCATGTCTTAATAACACAGAACTATTTGCTAGATAGGCTCTGTTGTCACACTGTTCAGCACAGCCTATGGTTATAATAGTGTTTCTTGTGTATGTGACCCAGGCCTACACCAGTCAGTTTGTGGCCCTCACCATGTTTGGCCTGATGCTGAGTGAGGACAAGCTCTCCCTACAGGCGAGAAGACTGGAGATCATCAACGGCTTCAGGGTGCTACCTGGTCAGTGAAAGAAACACACCAGTAAATCACAAACACATTGTGGCCTCAACATAAGCAGACAGCATGTTAAAATGCAGTCAGACAGATTCTCAGTCATGTTCGACTACCACTAACAAATCAAGCTAACAAAATTCTGTATCATTTGTTTAGAAAAAGTGCACTCAAGCACTCACTGTTACAATAATATCTCCATCTCCACATTCTCCTACTCTCCTAGAGATGATAAAGAAGGTGCTGGCCCTGGATCAGAAGATAAAGGCCATTGCAGATGAACTGTATCAGCAGAAGTCTCTTCTGGTCATGGGTCGAGGTTTCAACTACGCCACCTGCCTAGAGGGGGCACTGGTGAGTTGAATATGGCAAAGTAAAAAACTGCAGATCACATAACATAAAATAGAGAGAAAAAAATAGAAACATTAGATGAAATAACATAGTTGTAATGCCTGTTGTATTGTATGTGTTATGTTATTATCTGGGATAATGTACTGAGCTAGTTTTATTCTTGTTATTCTAATGCAGAAAATCAAGGAGATCACTTACATGCACTCAGAGGGCATCTTGGCTGGGGAGCTGAAGCACGGTCCTCTAGCTCTTATAGACAAAGACATGCCAGTCATCATGATCATCATGAGAGATGCCTGCTACACCAAATGCCAGAATGCTCTGCAACAAGTCACCGCTAGATCGGTAGGTCCTGTATTAACACATTCTTATGTAATAGGCCTGCGGGCACTGAAACACACACCTGGACACATGACCTTTAAATTATACCTGAGTGCAACAAATGTAACTAAATGAACTGACTGACTGACTAATGTTAATGTCCTTGCTTGTGACTCTCTCTCTCTCTCAGGGTCGGCCTATCATCCTTTGTTGCCAGGATGACCCTGAGATGACTAAGGATGCCTACCAGACCATCGAGCTGCCACATACTGTGGACTGTCTGCAGGGCATCCTCAGCGTCATCCCCCTGCAGCTCTTATCCTTCCACTTGGCTGTCCTGCGAGGATATGACGTAAGTGGTCTAACAAAACCTCAACGATATGTGTGAGGCTTTTTGTCTGCTAATGTCTTTATTTATCTGAGCCCCAGAAAAAAGGCAGATCATACAAAAAATTGAATATTAGATTACCTTTCTATGTAGTTTTATTAGGACACAATCTTCATATTGAGATACCGTGGCTCACAATTGTCATGCAAATGTCATTGGTTACGTTTTATGAAAACACTACTTGACTCACTGTGATGGACATGACTTTGATGATGATCGTGATGAATGAAAGGGTCAGTAAATATTGTCACATATAAATATCAGGATTATGCTCTGAAAATGATAATATTAATCTTGTCTATACCCAACTGATTAAGAAAATGAAGGTTAAATGCACATATATTGTAATACACAGTGCATGTATAATTTGCTATTCTAATGCTTTCAGTTGCCTCTATTTACATATGACTTTGATATTGCTGCATATTAGTTTAAATGCTATGCTAAGTCTAACATTCAAATACATGCGGTGCCTGATGTGTACTACATGCAATGTGCAGTATGTCTGTGTATATCATGCCCCAGTATGTTTTATTTTAACAATAATTATAAATATCAAAGTATAATTTCCACATTTCAATAGACTTTGATTTACATGCAGCACAGGACTCTGGGAGTCTATTTATTGCCTAAAGTTAATTAATTATTAACATACTGTAGAGTAGTTCAAGAGACCAGCTTAGTAAGCAAAACTAGCTGGATTTGTGTGTGGGCAATATCTTTCGTTTGAAAGGCTTGGTTTTACATACTGTTAATCTTGTGGTTTCACATTTGCCTTTAAAGACACCTCTCTCACAAATTTGGAATGGCATCATGTCTTTACATAGTTTACACAGTTGAGGCATGTGTAAAGTCTTTCCACCTGGTCAGTGAGAGCTGATCCATACTCTGGTGCACCATTTTATTTTTAACCACCATTTCTTAGCTTGTTATTGTGTGCTTGTTCTAGTATAAAAGGAAAGTGCATGTTTACCTTTATACTAAAACAGTCCTGATCAAAGGTAATCTGCTCTAACGAACTGCTTTCTCTTTTTGCAGGTTGACTTTCCCAGAAACTTGGCCAAGTCTGTGACTGTGGAATAACTGTAGCTCACAAAGCGCAGAAGAGGAGAAAGGAGGTTCATAGATTTACAGTGCAATGGTGCAATTGAACGTTTAGTGTGTGTGTGTGTGTGTGTGTGTGTGTGTGTGTGTGTGTGTGCGCACGCAGATAAGGGTGTGAGTAAGAGTGAGAGAAAGTAACAGATGAAAACGGGGAGGTATACGGTACAACAACTGAATCAGTACAATGCAGAGGAAATGTCAGTGCCATTGAGGCCTCATGGAAGAATCTATGAAAACAACATTCACACATCTAAAGCGACATGCTGAGCCTTTTGTCTTATCTCGAGTGGAGCCAAAAACACATAGGCCTACAACAGGCTTAGCATAGATATGGTATATTGAAGTGTTTACAGTGTTGTGCAATATGGGGACCAAATGTGCATTATGTATGTACACAATCATGAATGAGGTGATTAATTCTCTTCTTGTTTTATTCATTTCTTATTTCTTTCTTTTCATCTCTCTTTGCAGAATGGGAAATGTAGGAATTACACTGTTTTATTCCAGAGAGTTTTCTTAAAAATTTTTAAATATAATATTTTGCACATTCATGTCATCACTGTGCCTGGTTGGCCATTACCAATAACTTAAATTTTTTAAGTAAAAGCTACCAATCTAACTTTCACATTATTACTTGGTTTTTCAATGTGTTTCTGTTCCATTTTATTGTTATTTCATTTTAATTTGAAATATATTGTATGTCTGTTCTGTTAAAAGAACTGAAGTTTCCAAAGTCAGTTCATGGTAACATGAACCTTTTTTTGGTGGAATATTTCCATAGACAGACATGCAGCAAAGAAATAACATTCAGTAACTTTCAATAATACTTTTTTGTCAGCTGTATGGGTTTGTGATAATGACTCTATTGTGTATTTATCTGATTTTTATTTTATAGGGGCTTAAGAGAGGGGTTGATTTATATCTAACTGTGATTGTATTTTATACTGTATGTTTTATAGACAAAACTGGCACTACCAATCAATAAATAGATGAAGTATTCAATTATGTTTTACCTTATTTGTCCTTACTCTCCAGTATTTGATGTAGTAAGTAATATTACTTTTAGATGCTATATCACTATAACAGAAGGATAATAGGTGCAGTTAGCTGTGATTTTTTTTAAAGCATTTTTTAACTCCCAATTTCTTCTTCTCTTACTCCACTGCTTTTCAGAAGCAAATATTTTTTACTCCCCTACATTTTTCTGACAGCTAAAGTTACAAAATCAGATTTTACATTCAAAAATTATATATTATACATTATGAGATATTAATGAGGCAGATGTTTAAAATTAGGTTCTACCAGCTATAACAGTAACATGTTACTTGTTAATGCACCAGTAATAATAATCCATTACTATAACATAATATAACACTGACAGAGGTAATTCTGCTGTATAATGTCTAATTTTACTTTTGATACTTTAAGGAGAATGTTTTTTATCTTTATATAGATATTTTAATCAGTGACATGCAAAACAAAAAGTTTTCCCCAAAAGTTTTGTGTGGCGAAAAAAAAAAAGTTGCGCCCACGTAAACCGTGCGTGATGACGTCACCCGCATGCTCACTCCCTGCTTGTTGTGGCGTCTCCTTCCTCCGCACCCGTCCCTCCGCGCTGCTCCCGCTGGAGTTAGCTAGGAATTGGAGGACGGTCTTATCTGTCGTGACAGCCGGTTTTCCTAAACTTTTCCAAGTCTCGGTCGTGCCTGAAAGACGGAGCGAGCGTTGTATCTGTCTTTTCGATGCATGGGAGTGCCCGGGGAGCGGTGAAGGGAGAAGGTAGGTCTCGCTGCTGCCGCTGCCGCCTCCTTTGCTGCCCGTTGGTCCGTCCGAGCTTTCAGTTCAGCCCCGGCCCAACTACCGCATTGCTGCCGAGTGAAGTGGAAAAGACGGGAAGTGACAGGCCTAGGTAACTTTGAAAGCTACCAAACGCGACGTGGATTTAACCGGCGTTTATATTCGTGTTTAGGGTGTGTGAACCGATGATTTCTGACTGTTAAACCACTGAGTGCCAGCGGTGCTGCGGCCGCGGTGTGTCATACATTGGTGACTTCATACCTCTCTGTCTGTCTGTCTGTGTGTGTGTGTATTTTAGAGGAGGCGTGTGGAAATTATAAAAGAAATCTCAGTTTTACACAGGTTGTAACCAACACAGGGCTGTCAGTTCACCCATAGTAGACCCACGCTGATATAACTACATTTAGCCAAATGAATGACATTTCTACAGGCCTACTATGCTCAGATTTTTCAAACCATTACCACGAAAACAGGTGTAGATGTGATGAAAGCTTAACGCTAGTGCTATATATCGCCTCTACTGGTTTATTTAGAGGCAAGTTCCAGCTTGTCAACAAATCAGGCACTATGTGAACACGGGATCAGTGTGACATGTGTAAGCCTGAAGCATGTCAAAACACAAGCATCTTTTTAGCCAACAATACAGTGGGATCATATATACACAAACTGTATAGTTCACACATGACATGATACAAAGAGTGTTTCTAGCTGTGCCATGTTTCAAGAGCAACACTGGCGTCTTTTTCCATCAACACATATTTAGCCTCCTCCATCCTCTTCAAGTGTCTCACAGTGTCTGCAGACATCTCCAGTGCAGCAGCCTATATGTAGTTTTACCCGCCCCTGTGTGTTTTGTAACTCGGCCACATCAGGATGAGATGCTGAGACTTCAGGCCATGCTAATCTGAAATCACAGCCAGCTCACTGATTCCCATTCGTCTGCCAACTGAGAGCCATGGCCACGTCAGAACCCAAAGCTGAACTGGACAGTGGTCATGTGGAGTATGGTGGTGTTTGTGTGAAGGTCAAGTGTTGACATTAACATGCCTTTATAACTATGGATTTTAAGGGACAAGGAAAAGAGAAAATTGTACTTGTCTTCCATCTTTGCATGGATATTCATTCTAAATGTTAAGGCTGTGTCATGCTGTATCAATACACTGGCAACATATCGCAATAGTAAGTCTTGCCATACATTTGTATTTTTCTTGAGATTTTGGGCTCAGTTGGTGTCTTGATTGAGAGGTCAGTCATTAATTTTAGGGTTGGTAGTTTGATCAAAGGCTCTAATTGTCCATGTGTCCTCCTTAAGCAAGACACAGGCCCCCAATTGCTCTAGATCCAGGTGTATGGGGTAATGTAATCCACTTTAGACAAAAGCTTCTGCCACATGGGATTTATATATACAGCTGACTTGATTGAAAGTTATATAAAAACAATGATTTGCCTGATGATTGACTGATGATGGATCCATCTTCAGGATATAAATATATACATACACAGATATGCCTTAAACATCACACTGTACTAAAAAACACATTTTATATATTTACATTATACTGGCAGGTAGTAAGTGCTCTTGCTTAGAGCCTTAATGCTGTTTGGGAATCAGACTGGTTAACCGGCAGTTTACTTGGCAGTTTTGTTTCGACAACAATGTGACTTATCAATTAATTGCTGAAGCCGGATTTGTGATCACCATTATTGTAATTGCAGATATCCTCCTCACATTGATGTGTTGTATAGATAATGGTTTGAATATTAACAGTGTTAGCTGTATCAACATACTGTCATTAGTGAGGTCAAGGTATGTCATTATACCGCTATGATTGATCTTATGAACACATCTTTATTTAATATGTCAGCGGTGCAATAAGTAGTTAAGCTTGTTTATTCGTTCTGGTAATATCCTTTTAGTCTTTGATGTGTCCCACTTGTAGCTTACCTGCAGTGGCCTAGATTTCTCTTGGGATGTTCGTTTTCATCTAGCAACACTAATTGATTCCCCTTTGAAAATGAACAAATTCCTCAGTGTCTGCTGGCCAGAACCTTAATAGGTGCCTGCTGTCTGTCTGTCTATCTCAGCTTATATGCAATTTTCACCACACTTCAGTTGTTCCCGTCCGTGTCCATAAATCTGTGCTGAGTCAACTGTGCGTTTAGCCTATAGTCGTGTCTAGCTTGGCAGCAAGTGAAGGATTGTACATACGTCGGGCCCGTGCCTGCTGCAGCTGAAATGGGTTTAGGTTATGATTAATGGCCTCATCATGGTGTTCTTTAGCTTCATGTGCGTGTTGTGAATCAGTGAACCAGACGTTGAGGTTAAAACTGGAGAAGAAGTGGCACTGTTAGCCAATGCAGGTGCTGCAGGATGTTTGTTCTGGAATCCATTCTGCCTGCATGTCAAGGGAAAGAATAAAATTGTATTGTAATTGAGCACAGCCAAGGCCTTAGTATGTTGTTTTTGCTGCACCTGCATTTTAAACATGTCGGTAACCAAGTGGGAAAAGCTCTGCTTATAATCCAATTTTTTTTTTTTTAAAGTATCTCAGTCCCTGAGATACTTTACCATTTTACCATTGGGGATATCTTTGAGGAGGCCACAGGGCAAATGGGAGTAAACCAGAAAAGGGCAGCAGAGTGAGGGGATGTCAGGAGCATAAAATAATGACAAAGGAAGACAAAGGCAAGGAAAATGCAAAGCGTGAGAGAAGCACAAAGGGAGTAAAGGTCTTTGCAGCTCTCCCCTTGGGTGTAGTGAGAGAACCAGCTGGACGTACATGTAAGAAGGAGGAGAAAACGCCGGGGAGGCAGATGAAGAAAGTAGAAAGAGATGAGAAGGATTCAGTTTTCATCTGAGTAATGGTGCGGTTCCAATGCAGACCCATACCTACTACATCTGAAGGCTTTTTTTTCAGTGTTTGTGCATTTACAAAGAAAAGAGAAAAGATGGCATGTTCAAGACGGATGAAAAAACCTGGTCTTATAAAAGCAACAAACAACAAAAACAAAATGACAGGCAGAGACTCTGCAGGATTAGAGAACAATCAAATGACATAGCCGGTGGGAAATACCTCAAGAAGATGCATAAAATAACAAAGGAAATCACTGTGTTAATGAAAATCAACTGAACGATAGTAAGTGGGAGGGTTGGTATATTTGTGGTAGTTGATGTGGTGTTTGACGAGGAGAGAGACCATGTGGAGAGAAGTACATTGTCGTTTATTTCATTTTTGAATGTATTTACCCAGAACAGTATTAAAACTGTTGAGGCCAATGAAGATGGTGACACACTTCACTGTTCCATGATAAACACTATTAAACTATTATTTAAAACATTAACATTAAGAACAACAGTAATTTATTTATTTGTCTACATTGTCTAAAAATGGGAATGGGAAAAAAATTCTGCAAACAATTTTGTGTTTTCAAATAGGGCTGGGTGATAAGACGATCATTTTCGTGATGTAATTTTCCATGATAATGTAACAAATGTTTAATAAATGTTTGATTTAATTAATTTGAATCACAAATGGATCAGCACTTATTTTTTCTATAAAGATATTTATTTTGTTGAGGAAAAAGCACTGAAAAAAGTTTAGTTTTACTTGTATGCATATTTGTTTAAAAAATATTTTATCATCAATGTTTTGAATGTTCTTTCTCAGATTTGTTAAGTGATCCACTGTTTGTCGAGTGTTTGTCACATTCTGACCATAAAGAATAGTTTAAACCACAATTAACCATCTGGTTTCTTCAACTTTCACTCTGGAGCAAAAATCATCCTTTAAACTTTAAAGAAATATATGACATTTATTGTGACGATCACTGATATAAATTTTTTATCATGATAACATTTTTGGCCACATCATCCAGCCCTATATTTAAATCAGAAAAAAGGTAGCAAAGGTAGCATGGGTGTATGGCCCCCATGCACCCACGGCCGACCCAGGGCTACACTGGTAGGGGGCCCACTATGTAGAGTAGCTCAGCTGATTATAGTGGACACAATAAACAACAACAGTATATGACAAGATGCTGGGTCGGAAGAATTCAGCAGCTCTTATCAAATGGAAAAGTCCCTTCACTTATGGTTTCAATGGTAAACCACCACAAGACTGACAATTACCAACAAACACACTAGATTCTAAGGAGACACGTTTTACTAAACATAAATCATACAGTAACATTTGTATTTCAAACAAATGGCAAACTTATAGCACATTTTAACAAAACTCCCTTCACCCTCATGGATCATGGGAATTCTGAGGGAGGGCGTAGGCTGCCTGTGCAGAGCGGGTTATTTACGGCGTCAACGTCCACTGGAAGCCTCTCAGGAGCATTTCAGCAGCGAAGCGTGTAGTCTGCGCAACATTAATGACTTGTTTTTAATTGTCCTTTTTGTGCTTCTACTACATTCTTCAAAGCTCTCTGTGGATCGCTATCGTTTCTCGTCTTGGCCATAGACTGGTCTTGATGTGTGCATCTAGCAACTACCACAGGGAGCATTTCAGAATAAGAGTGTTTTACCTGCCAGACTTTGCCAACATGTTTTTATGTTGTTGATTTGGTAATTAGTCCTTGCTTTTTGTGCTTCTACTATGATTAAGTAGGCTACATAGTAATTTTTTTTTTCTTTTTTGTCTGATTTAACTGTGTTTATTGTTTATATACGGCAGTCTGTAACGGTAAAAATTGACCGTTTCTCTGCCAGTTCTGTGTCTGACTTCCTGCCCGATTCATCTGCTCTGTGCTGCTTGACGCTGGGACACTTCCTGGACGCACTCTGTGCTGACAGTGTAGTTTCGCTCCCGACAGTACACTTTTCTAAAATCCCTAACATGAAAAGTCTCTGCTGTAGATTTATTGTGGCTTGTTAATTACAGATTTACTTTTTAAAATGGCAATAATAATAATAAAATGGCTCTAAGTATGATCTTAAAAATTATAAAGATTTGTTCCTTTAATAATCACAATTACTACTACTAATAATAACAACACTATACACACTATCAGTGAACATTGTACAATATAACTTCTTTATCATCAAGTCATTGAAGCCTTTTCTTGCTAAGATATTTTTAGTAAGAAAGAAAGACATTTTGATAATAAAAAAAAGATATGGCTGCAATTTTATTCATTCATAATATCCAAAAGCTCGCTCCACTAATCATTTCAAACTAAAGGCAATAACAGTCAAGTCAATCAACTGTCAGTTAGTCCTCCTCTGCTCACTTACTGCGATTCTTTTTAATGCTGTCACAGTGTCAAAGCTGAGACTGAGTATCTTTACAACCAGCTTGAGGTGTTTTTTGGCTCTATTTGATCATAACTTCTCTGCTGTTTCTGTCTTTTTTAACAGCCAGCGAGTGGTCGTGTCTTTGTTGCCTGTCAAACAGAAAAGGGCCACAATATCAGACTCCATTTAACCTGTGGCTTTTGTGTCTGAAGGAATGACAAACAACCGTGACTACTCGCTGTTGCATAGCTACATAATTGTGTGTCCTCTCCCACACACACACTCAATGCCTGGCCAAGAATATTACTCCTCCTCCACTTCCTGCCTGAAGAATCAATGCAAAACACTGACATATTTTTTTATAAACACACAAACATGTATTAGTTATCATGTGCTTGTCCCACACGGCCAGCTGTACACACACACACGCACTGGATGCAGATCACAGAGTAATAAACATGCTTTCAAGTCCTGATGCTGTTTACTGAGCGTTGAGTGTGTCTGCCTGAGTTTGGAGATGGCAGCGAGCGCCTCAGGAGCTGCAAGCTGTCGGCTTCCTCTTTTCTCCACTACACACACACCAAAACGTTTACTGCCTCAACTTCACTGTTACCTTTGACAGATTAACAAACTGGGCAGAAAGCGGTGATAGATTGCTTGACTGGGCTGAAAATGAAGCGAGTGATGCCAGGGACTGACAGATGGAACCATATTAGGCCCTGCCATTCACTGTGGATCATTCGAGTGATTCAGTGGACTGAAAAAAAAGGTTCCAGGTTTCTTTAAAAAGTCTAGTAACGTCACCACACTGTTGTAGGCTTATTAACATGCTCTACTATACCTTGTGTACCGTTCTGCACGACCATTTGGAGAGAGGAGGTTTTGTGTACAGCATGGTGTCTTATCTGTTTATTTGTTCTCTGTGTGTTGTTGGCCCCCTGCAGACCGTGCTGGTGGTCCTGACTGTTCAGCAGGATGAGTGAGGCGGAGAGCCAGTTCTACAGCGTTCAGGTGGGAGACTCCACCTTCACTGTACTCAAGCGCTACCAGCAGCTCCGCGCCATCGGCTCCGGGGCCCAGGGCATCGTCTGGTGAGAGGCTGCGCTTTAATTAGCATGTTGCTGGTTGTGTCAGCAACACAGGGTGGTGTTGAAATTCAGAATTCCAGCTAATTACATAAACATGTCAAATGTCCCATGAGGAAAGTAACCGTTTGACCCGCTAGTGGTAGGCCCTTGTACGCCTATTTCACCAGAGACTTGTTGACATGTGATGGAAGGAAAAGAAGAGGTGTAAAGTGAGTGAATGAGTCTGTTTAGCTGCATCCGATTCTGTTATTGTGTTTTCAGTGACACCCATGCTTTTCCTACTATGAGTCAAAATTTCCTCTGTGAAAAAGGCCTATTATGGTGATGTCAGTAGGCAGTGTGTCTGTTTGTCTAGCACATACATTCAGAGCAAGATCTTGATAACTACTAGCCAGATTGTTATTAACCCCTTACAATCAAGTTTCCTTTAATGTCTCCTGTGAGAAGCTTTCAGATTGGAGAAACCATCTTATTTCACACTTTCTCACAATAGTACATGTATAGTATATTCTTTGTTAGCTTGTTCTTGCACTTCATTTAAGCTATATGTTGTTGACACTGAGTGAAATATTCACACCCATATTTTGTGACTGCATCTTTGCATTAAATATGTGGAAATATTATAGGTGTTTGTTTCTGCAAACACATTTGGTATCTTTGGAAACTTTGGGATATCTAGTAGAACGTAAAAATAAAGTTTTGTGGGTTTAAGCACGTTCAGGATGAGCCCTTTCCAATATATGTGTGCTAAAGTATGCTGGCTCCTCTTTTTTGCTATACTATATAGCTGCAGTGCCTGAGGGTGCATTTTCAGGACCCCTGCAGTCCTAGGACGGCATTTCTAGGACCCTATTTTTTTGCGACAGTGGTCACGCATAGCAACACAAAGGAGGTTAACCCTGTCTGCTAGCACATCGACCATGAGGCCCAAGGTGCGCAGCTGTAGGGTTAACCGGTCGACATGCATAGAATCACTGACTTAGGTTTACGCACACACCCCTGTGATGGTAAGGGTAAGGGGCTTTGGGGCGCTGTCCACATCTTAAAGAATAACATTGTTAGCTAGCTAGCTGGCAGAGTCAAGGCAAACTAGGGTCCTACAAATGCAGTACTCCTAGGAGTACGGTCCTGACAATGCAGCCTCCGGTACTACTGCTACATACTACTCTTTCTTTGGGGATTTGTTTTGTGCAACCCCTCATGGTGAGGAAATGAATGTCTGGCTTATTTTAAGCTTTAAAAAAAGATACTGTAGAATGACAGCGGTACCTTTGTTCTTGTCAAGTTGATGTGAAGTCAAACAGCAGCTTTGCTCTGCAGGATGCATTTATTTCCTTCCTTCATAACCCCTGTCTCTGTCTGTTCCCTCCTCCATACAATGTGCGACCAGCTCTGCTCTAGATACAGACCTTGGTATACCGGTGGCAGTGAAAAAACTGTGCCGGCCCTTCCAGAACCAGACTCATGCTAAGCGTGCCTACAGGGAGCTGGTGCTGCTCAAATGCGTCAACCACAAAAATGTAAGACTTAGATTTAAAGGATAGGTTCATGTTTTGTAATAGAAGCCAAAAGTCCATATGTACATTGGAACAGCTTGGTATTATTATGCCGCCTGTTGATACTGGCCACTAAGAGATCTTTTTCTAGCATGTTTCCAATGGAAAGGAACAGTCCTTGTTCTGTGAGAAAATGCGTTACAAAGTGTACTGACGCTTACAAGACATCAGGGGTCTCATGTACCCAAATCAATTGGGTATCAGACAAAGTAGCAATGTTTTAGTTCGTAATTCCCTCTTTGTGTTTCCCTGGGCAATGTATCAGTGCTGAGCTGCAATGGAGGGATAGTAACACAAAGAGAGAATTTTGTACTAAAAACACTGGAAGATACCCATTTGATTTGATTAACTGAGACTGCTGAAGCCTCGTGTTAGCCTCGGCTAAAGTTTGGAATGTATTTTTGCACAGACTGAGGACTGCGGATTATGTTCCTCATCACTTACAGCCTACTGGAAGGGATCTCTTAATGACCAGTTTATGTTTCAGTGTTCATATGAGCATGTGACAGTTGCTTTAAGACAGACATGAAAACTATCTTTTAATATCGGCTCTTTTTTTCTGCCTTTTGGAACACGTGCTATATGTTTGATACAGATATATAAAGTACCGCTCACAGTCAAATTAAAATGAAGCTTGACATGTCATGTATTATTTCATAAGAAACTTCAGAGATGAAAATTATATCCCTCTCTTTTATTTAATGGATTTTATTTACATTAGGACTAAAATATGACTGGCAGCCAAAGCACGAAGATTTTAATTGTCTGTTGTGAGATAAAAAAAAATTGGAAATAATGTACAAACTTGAGAAAAGGAGAGAGTCATCTCGCTGCAATGCCTGCAAACCCTGCTACGCCCTCAGTTGGCCAACTCTCTGCGTTGAAGTGGATGTAGATGGGAGAGTAACAGAGTGGACTAATGGCCTGTCTCTCTGCTTGCAGATCATCCGTCTGATCAATGTGTTCACGCCTCAGAAGTCCCTGGAGGAATTCCAGGACCTGTGAGTGGCAGTGGAGTGATACTAGGCTCCAACAATGTACTCTGTGCTTTCTGTGGGATTCAGGGATTTTAGCTGCAGCGTTTTCTTCCAATCAGCTTGCATCCCTCATTTACGTGTCAGCCTCTTCTAATGCACTGTGTTATTTTTATATGCTCTCTCTGCTTTAATGTCTTCTTTGGGTTTGTCCGTTCGTCCTTTATGAACACCTTTACTAGCTTTTCTGCCTCTTCTTTGCGACTGTGCTTCTTATAGTCTCTTGCCGCTTATATCTCTTATCTACCATTCCGCCATTTTTTTAAATCCCTACTTCTTTTCACTCTTTCCTTTGCTTTCAGCTATCTGGTAATGGAGTTGATGGATGCCAGCCTATGCCAGGTGATCCACATGGACCTGGACCATGAGAGGATGTCCTATCTTCTCTACCAGATCCTCTGTGGCATCAGGCACCTGCACTCTGCTGGCATCATCCACAGGGTAACAGGACAAGGAATAATGCTGTGTTGTGGGCTGAATGAGTTAACAAAGCAGAAAATAATGTTTCAACTGCTGAAATTTCTTAAATTGTAACTTAATATCAGGCTGAAAAGCAGTGTTTCACTGCTGTCTCTGGCTGAAGATTAAGAGTTGAAGTTTGTTAAGTTACTGCTGGGTGCAACCACACCCACAGTGATGTCACGGTGTACTGCCTCACCTGGAGTGCACTTCTGCATCACAGCTGTAAGGCTGGTTGTTAAACCACCTAATTAATTGCTAATTAGTAATATTTATTACTATGTGAAAAGGTGATATTAGAAAAATGTAACTTGTAGAGATTTTAATGATAAAAGATCATTTCTTTGATTCTAAAATTGCAGTGTTGACTTTGGAAGAATGCGGATGTCTTTAACCCTTTTGGTACAAATATTTAAATGCAACAATTTTCTCCAAAATAACATTCATCAGCTACTATCCATGTAGAAATATACTGAACTAAATTATAAATGCATCACTTTTGTTTTTGCCCCCATTCATCATGAGCTAAACTCAGAGATCTAAGACTTTCTCTATGTACCCAAAAGGCCTATCGCTCTCAAATATTGTTCACAAATCTGTCAAAATCTGTGTTAGTGAGCACTTCTCCTTTGCAGAGATAATTCATCCACCTCACAGGTGTGGCATATCAAGATGCTGATCAGACAGCATGGTATTGCACAGGTGTGCCTTAGGCTGGCCACAATTAAAGGCCACTCGAAAACGTGCAGTTCCATCACACAGCAAAATGCCACAGCTCATGCTCATGATGAATGGGGGCAAAAACAAGAGTGTTGCATTTATAATTTTGTTCAGTGTAAATACCTCAAGCGTCATGTTTTTGTATGTGTATGTTTCCATAGATTTATAGATTTTTCTCTCCCCTCAGGACCTGAAGCCCAGTAACATTGTGGTGAAGTCAGATTGCACTCTAAAGATCTTGGACTTTGGCCTGGCTAGGACGGCCTGCACTAATTTCATGATGACCCCCTATGTGGTGACCAGATACTACCGCGCCCCAGAGGTCATATTAGGCATGAAGTATAAGGAGAATGGTAAGGATAACTTACAACGCTAGTTTTAAAGATCTTATATCTCTAAAATGTTGGCACCAAAGCATATCACGGAATAATAGGTTCACTTGTAAAAACCCTGCCTGCACAGTCACAAGTCTTTGATCCAGTATCAAATGGGCTCTAGCTGTATATTAGGGATCCAAGCACCACAGGTGCTTCACATAATAATATCCATAAAATCCATTTATTTTATTATTCATATTATTATTAATTAATATCCGCAAAAAGTATCTGGGTCTCAGAAACCACAAGACCTACTGCAACCAAACTTGGCAGACAGCTCAACCACTTCACAGGCAAAACAAACCACATCAACGTACCTCATGGTGGCCATATAATAACACATTTCAAGTTTTATTTCACTAATTTCTTATCTGCATGAGCTACAAGCAAAATTAAGTTTTCGCTGGATGGTTTCCCTCTTTTTGCAATAGGAACCCACCTATTTTGAACATGTGATTTTGTACCATTTTAAACTTTGCCCTAAACCTGTGAAAGTTTTCACAGCTTTTAAATTTCATTAAATGTACACAAAATGTCACAGGAGTTACACAAAGGTTATTACATTTTATTTTGATACCCATTTCCATTTATACATTTTTAAAGTTGTGTTGTTGGTACTTTTTACATAAACTTAATAAATAAATAAATAAATAATAACTTTAAATTGGTTTAAGCTATTGTAACCAAATGTGATGCACATATTCAGATGCTAGCTCTGAGCTGCACAGTCTTGGTACATTCTGACTGCAGGTTTATTTCTGAAATGAAGAAGCCAAGATCTTTGGTCATGTCCCAGTCAGCAGGCGAAATTTGGTTTTGACTGATCAAAGTGATCGGGATTTAGAAGCTAGTAATCAACATTTTTGTAATACAGCAATCAGAACTTCAAAATATTTTCAATCACCAAAATGTCCTAGAAATTTCAATATATGCTTTCAATCTCATCTAGGCTATTTTTGTGTCACATTTTGAAAAATGTGAAGAAATTTTGATTCAGTTCAAATAGTGCTCAATTATGGAGTCTGTCTCTCTGGACTTTTTTTTAAATTGCATAATCAGTTTATTGATTCACTGATTCTGGAGAAATATTGTAAAATAGTTCATCCACAATTGAGGACACGGTGACAATAAATGTGTTGGCATAATATATACAATATTTACAAACAACATGTCACCAATGTGGGATCAAACTTAACGAAAATATCTTACAACATGACTGTATTGATCACAGACACGTTTAGTTGGTAGTAAAGGCATATAATGTCCCAACGATGGCACCCTTTTTCAAACTCACTATGACATACTGATCAGCTGCACAATCAGTCATAAAGTTTTACAGCTAATTCAGTGTCCAACGTAACATTCTTCCCCCACTGGCCCTCTGGGACTGTAGATCACAGTTTACTGGTCTGAAGAAAAAAGAGAAAAAAAACACTTTTCCATAATACTGTTACTTAATTAATCGTATATACATTGTAATGATTCGTTCAGACTTCTTATAATATTTTAAAGATTTAAGTAGACATTTTTTTAAAAATTATTTCAAGCCTTGTAAAGGCCTTTTCAGATGGGGATTGGATTTGTGGGGCCCGCACTGTGCTCCTTATGTAACAGACAGGTAGAAAAGTGCTCTGCGAGTAAACACCAGGTGCTCTATGGGTAGTAACCAAGTCAACGGCTTCTGTGCAGTACTGTATCCCTGCCGGTACAACTGTATTTTCCTTATAGGCTATAGAAAACAATTAAATCTTCTAGAATTTATTGAAAGAATCTATTACTAAATAATATAACCGCTAACTTTCAAATTAATTCAGTTAGTAAGTTTACAAGTGAGTTTAGTTCAGCTGAGTAGCTACACTAATTAGATGTGAGTAACGTTAGGTCTAGTGTTTAGTTTAGCTGTGGACCAGCTTCAAAGAGTGGTGCTCTAGCTGTATAAAACTATTAGATTAGATCATTTTTAATGAATAAGAGAAAGCAGCATTGTGGGAACACTTGATCCTGACGTCAAGGGAACTCACAAACAGAAAGGATCAGTCTCTCGTCCGTTGAACTACAAGCTGACTTCCACTGAAAAACTGTCACTGGCCCACACTGACCAATCAAGTTGCCTGACAGACTTTTTTAATGGTGCCGGGCCATTGCTTATGTCAAACCATGTAATTGGTAAAGTGCTGCTTTGAAGTCCAAGAGTATAACCTGTTGGTTAAGCAAAATACACGTCATTGGTGTTCAGATTCAGGAGTGGCTAGGCCTGGGAGAGCTTATGTCTGTGAGTGTATACAAGTTGTTTTTCTGTATGTAATGCATTCTCTGTATATTTGTGTTAAGCACTCCCTTGATAATGAGATGGTTCATCTCAAGGGGATTATTGTCCAAACAAATGTGTTTACGGTGTTCACAGGTTCAAATCCAGCTCGGGAACCTTGTTGTGTGCATCCTCCTGTTTCTCTCTACTGTCTGTTGTGATCTATGTTCACACACTGTGACTCTTTAAAAGCTGTTTAATGCATGCCAAACTATGTGCTTGGACCCTGCTTATTGCTTAATTTTGGTTTATTTATTGTTGACGATGACAATGAATGTCCTTACCACACTACCACTCCACTGCAGTGGACCTGTGGTCGCTTGGCTGCATAATGGCTGAAATGATCTCTCACAAAATCCTCTTTCCTGGAATGGACTGTATCCTTCCTTGTTTGTCTCTGTTTCAGTTGTTTTCTCTTTCTCCAGAGACATAAATGTTTTTTATTAAATTAGGAATAGTTTATTTAGTACATTAGAACATATCCCAGTGAGAAAAAAGGATTAGACACAGTGGTTTGATTTATACGTTTACACAATTATGTCGCTGCCAAGAGCGGACTCTACAGAGAACCGTGCAAGACTACAATAAGCCCATTGATGAAGTCCCTGCTAAAAAACACAGTGAAGTTGTTCATATCTTTTCTAAAATAGCTTAGCTACAAGGTGATGCGTGAAACATGAAACAGGATTACAAACAGGAAGTAGTCAAAATACTTTTATGTGGCCTGCCCCAACTGGAAAGTCTTTTCGACCAGTCAAGAGTATAACTAGCCTGTTAGACCAGTCACAATGAATAGTGTAACCTGTCCAAGTTTAAATCCATGATTTATTGTGTTTATAGATATTACATAAAGTGGTCTATATGATCTGAAGACGTTAACAGAGCACTGAGACCTCTCGGCTTCAGTGAAACTAAAAGAGAAGGAAGAGAGGAGCTCATGGCTGTTTGCTACATATTCACGCTCTAACGCAAACGGTCCACCCAGAGAACGAGAGAGAGAGAGAGAGAAGCGCACACTCATCAGGGAAAGTGTGGGAGAGAGCAACAGCTGTGTAAACTGATAAGCAGAGCTGCAGAGGCGAGGAAAAAGGCCTGAAAGGCTGCATCTGGTTCCCAAGCCAGGGAGAGAAAAGAAAGGCAGCCTGAAGATGAATATGATGAAAGCGTCAGGCCGTAGCACAGCTAGAGGATGGACCAAAATAACGAGAGCTGGTGTTCTGCATTTCAATGTTGATGTTCATTTACACCATGGAGCATGTTGTTCATCTGTGCAGCCTCCATATGTCACTGTATATTTAGTGGGCATTATATTATGTGGTTGATGTTATGTGTTCATTATTTAATATATTTGTGCTTTCTTGTGCGTTCTCTGTTCCCAGTGGACATCTGGTCAGTGGGATGTATCATGGGTGAGATGGTAAAGGGCAGCGTCATCTTCCAGGGCACCGACCGTATCCTTTACCGCTCTCACCGTCTCCGTGCCACTCATCCCATTTCTTCCATCTTTCACCCTCCATCAAGCCTCCCATTTATCTCAAAGTGTTTCCCTGTTATACCCACTAAGCATAACCTGTTGAAAAAGACCAATCAAGAGTTCCAGCACACCCCAATTTACAATTTACCCTGTGTTCCCTGCCCTCTTCAGTGGTAATGAATTTGTGGAGTTTCAGATAACTTTAATCCCTTTAATTGATAGAGGGAATGAAATTGAAGCAAGTCAGATCATTTGCATTTATATTGGCTGTTTCTCTATTTCTAATGGTTTTGTGCACCTCACTCACCAGCTCCTTTCGGTGACACTGACCATTTACACCTGAGTAGCTGAGAATGGATGCAGGTTGGGAGTGCGATTCTAGGATAGATTGCTTTTCATCGTGGGAAGTAATAGCCTTTTACTGCAGTTGTAAATCGGCTGCCCCGCTGGATGTGCATATGTGTATTTTTAGCCATGCTAGTGCCAAATGGCAAAGGTCTGTCTGGTCTGTCTGGTCTGTCTGTCAGTCTACTACTTTGGTCCAGACTGCAACATCTCAGCATCAACTAGATAGATCGGCACAATATTTTGTACCAGCACCTATGGTTCCCAGCTCATGTGTGAAAGTTTGTGCACACATTAGTCTTCGAACTTCTTGGGACCATGTTGGAAATAAGTGTTTTCACTTTAACATGTTATCCTTTGGATATTTGTTTATCCATCAAATCAATCTATCAAGCATGTTTCTGTCAGGATGAATAATTCTCTGACTTTTTGTCGAGCACCATCGTCAGGTTTGTCCAGTTTATGACCAAATAACTGCAACACATTCCCATCATCCTCAACCATACTTGTGTTTTGTGTTAATTAGCAAATGTTAACATGCTAATGCAATAACCTAACATGGTGTGCATGGTAGATATACCTGCTGCTTAACATCAGCATGTTAGCCATGTCATTGTGAGCATGTTAGTTGCATGCTGGCTTTTAGTATTTAGCTCAAAAGCACTGCTGTGCCTTCAGCCTCACAGATCTGCTAGCATGACTGCACACTCTTGTTTTGCCATTCTGCACTGTTCTGCACTGAACCTTTTGTTGATATTTATTCATGTTATGCAAAGTGCATAATTTTTTTGTATTAGTCTCTTGATTTGGTGTCTTATCAAATGTTCCTCTCATTTGCTGACATATGTACATACCCATAATGCAGCTGAGTTTTCCCTAACAAGCATGTCGTCCAGACATTGACCAATGGAATAAGGTAATTGAGGTTCTGGGCACGCCCAGTCTTGAGTTTATGAACCGACTGATGGAAACCGTGAGGAACTACGTAATGAACAAACCACAGTATCCTGGCGTCAGCTTTGCCGAGCTTTTCCCGGACTGGGCCTTTCCTTCTGACTCAGAACATGACAAACTGAAGAGTAAGAATTTTAGACACTAAGTGAACCTGACTTTACTAATTAAGATAGTTAATGTTTTATAGCATAGATTTCATGGTTTTTAAATCTCTTTCCAAGGATGCTGCCCTAATGTATAGATTTTAGTCAACAACATTTGTTTGCAGCATATTGATGTAATGAGACATTTCTCAACAAAATCAGAGGGAGTTTGTCTCCCGAAGCATTTAGAGTCGGTGGCATTTAGAGTTAGAGATCACATCACCAAAACAGGAGACCAAATCTTGACCTTTCCAGGGATGTTAACCTACAACACGAGGGGAAGTAATCAGTTCTCATAAAGAGCACTTAAATGAGGTGGTGCCACAGGACTTTTTTTACAGTAACACTGCCCTTCCTCTGTTGCCTTAACAGCGGGACAAGCACGGGACTTGCTGTCCAAAATGCTGGTTATTGATCCTGAAAGCCGCATCTCCGTAGAAGAAGCCCTCAATCACCCGTACATTCACGTGTGGTACGACCCTGCAGAGGCCGATGCGGTGAGTAGACTGTTCCAGTGGTGGTACACTTTATCAATGCTACTGCTGTGTGGTGCCATGCTGATGTATTTCTCTTTGCTTCACAGCCTCCTCCCCAGATTTCAGATAAGCAGCTGGAAGAGAGAGAGCACTCCATCGAGCAGTGGAAAGGTAGGATGCACTGCCCTCTAGGGAAATCCATCAGCAGTGCAGCTTAACTTCACATTAACATTTTCATTTAAGTTACAGGAAACTAACCCTAAAAAGATTTTTAATATTCCATGTCAGTATACACAGTCACAGGAAAAAGTATTTCAACCCTTTGGAATTACCTGGATTTCTGCATTCATAAAATGTGATCTGATTTTCATCTAAGTCACAACAATAGACAAACCCAGTCTGCATAAACTAATACCACGCAAACAATTATATGTTTTCATGTTTTTATTGAAACACTGAGTAAACAGTCACAGTGCAGGGTGGGAAAAGTATGTAAACCTCTAGGCTTATGACTACTCCAAAAGCTAATTGGAGTCAGAAGTCTGCCAACCTGAAGTCCAGTCAATAACACAAGATTGGAGGTGTTGGTTAGAGCTGCCCTGTTACTTTTAAAACAAAACATACTAACAGACTAGAACATGTGCTCTCTCTCCTGCTGACAGCCATTTAATAAAAAATGTACACAAGGCAGCAGACACAAGTTGCCTCTATGTTGATTGGCAGGTTGCCATGGTAGCGACAAGGTAGTCCCGCCCAAAAGCATATGCTGCATTATCGTCTATTTTCCCCTCTATAGGACCATTATTTACTAAATGAACATCATGATGTGTTGAAGAAGACTTGAAAGTAGCGATTGAGACCATAAACTCATCAGGAAAGTGTTTACTGGGGTAATAATTCAGCTGAGATGTAGCAACATTTTATTTCTAATGGAACCAGGGCCTGTATTTATCAAGCTTCTCAGAATTACTCAAAAGAACACTGCTAAGAACTGACTTAAGAGTAAAAAAAATTACTGGCTCAAAGCTGTGCTTAAAAGTTCCTTATGGAGCATCATAGTCCTAATTTGAGTGAAGTCTAGGACAAAGTTTCAGTCTTAGTGCTGATTTAGGACACCGCAAACAGGATTTTGGATGACGATGTCGCCAAGGACTAAATAGATTTCCTTCTTTAAGAATATTCTCAGATAAATTCACATTGAATGGTGAAATTCCTAAGAGGAGTTTACGTTCAACACACATTTAACAATAAAGAATTTTCAAGATAATACATTATGATATAGGCCTACACATTAATAAATAAAAGATAAAACAAAGTTTATCCTTCAAATGCGCTCTTGTATTGCCGGCTGTGAAGTTTCACAAACCAAGAATATTCTGTACATCACAAGCCAGATGTATCTTGATTTAGGTTAAATCTTTACAACATTACTGAGAATTTAATGATAGAATAGCGTTACGACGTCTGTGTGACTGGACCTGGGGAGCTAACCGGAGCTAGCTGGCTAAGTATTCCCGACAGCCCCCCGAAGTATATTACTCTGTCCCTAACCATCACAGGGTCTGTGCCTAAAGTTATTGATTGTATGCATGTCAACCGGTTAACGTTAACGCTACAGTGGCGCACATCGGCCACTAGCAGATAGGGCTAACCTCCACTGTGTTGCTGTGCAGCCTCCGCTAACGTTTCTGCAGCTATATATTGACACCCGCCGGCACCATGGTCGGCACTTGTCAACTCCGAAAACGTTTGAACACATTTTCACTCAGCAGGCTGACTTACTGCCAGCACCAGGGAATGAGAGGCAAGTCTTGTCAGGTAACAGTCACTGGACTGACATCTAATATCTATTTTGATAATTTTGTGACATTTAATAAAGCATAACGTTATTACAGCGCAGTTATGTTGTGCTAAGTTATAGTTTCAACACAACTTTAGTCCTGCTTGTGTTTACAGTCAACAGCTGATGAGAGTTGTTCTGGGTCCGCTCCACTTCAGAGCCCTAATCGTTTTTCTACGTGACACTTGTTTACTGACACAGACTCTAAAGACAAATCTGTTTATTTATAACATTTATTAGAGATCATGTTAGACATTCACAGGAAGAGCAACTTGCCCTCTTTCTGTTTTCAACATTTTCCGTAACAACAAGCAACATTCAAAGCGTGACAAAGTAACATGTTTACACACACACACACAACTCCAATCAGGTATGTTTTATCTTTTTAATGAACAATTACAGAAAGAGGCATTCGCGGGGACAGCTACGTATTCTTTTCCTGTTTTCAACAGCTGTCGTATCTACGACAACCACAGACGTATTCGGCTGACGGTCACCAGTTAACAGGGCCACTCGTTAAACCGAAACACCGGTCCGCCAGAGAACGCAACTTAACTTTTACTTTTTATTTATCGACAGAGCCGTGCTGTTGTTTCACCGCTCCTCACTGGTGAACAACCTGCAGTGTTTGAGATTATTGTTATTAAATTTTCATAAGAGTGTGTTTTATTTTTATTCATCTAGTGTGTCAAGCTTATTACTTCAATATATTCCCTGTTCCCTAGATGTTAATATATAGATTTTTGTCATGGATAGGTGTTAGGCTATTGTATGAATGAGCACTTTAGAGATGTCCATCCATCCATCCATCCATCGTCAACCGCTTATCCTGCATACAGGGTCGCGGGGGGGGGGACAAAACAGACAAAATTATTAAAATTAAATAAATACATTTAAAAAAGAAGAAATTAATAAATGAAATTGAAGATTATAAATAATATATAATAATAATAATAATAATATATAAATAAATAAGGTAATTAAAATAGATATATACATTTATGTCTCCTTGTATAATTTAATTAATACCTACATTTATTTATTTACTTTATTTTTTTGTGTATTTAATCGGATGCTTATTTATTTATTGAGCATTTATTTATTTCTGTATTTATTTCTGAATGTGTCAGGATCGGTCCTCCATACACTAGAGGGCTGCAGCGCCGCAATAACCAGCCTAGTTAAAATGAACGAAATGACAAAAAAAGATTAGTTAATTTTAATCAACGAGATTTGGTGACTCGAGTCTTTCAAAAGAGTGACTTTTCCGATCACTAGTTAACATTAGGATCTATACTGTACGTGAGCCGAGATTACCCTTACACGTCATCACGTTTTGTGTGCCATGTCTTCTGGCACAAACCATATTTGGATGTTCAACTTCCGTCAACTTCCATCAGGTCTGCGGGCTGCAACTGGATATACTTGAAAGTTTATGCCTGCGTGGTCTTATTAACTGCGCGTCGTCAGAATTCTTCCTCTCCGCTCCGCGTGTCTCTGTCTCCACAGTATGGCAAGCCATTAGTGCCAAAAAACGTCACTCTTGTAGCATGGTTTGCTAACAAAACGGCGTTTAAAACGGTGTTTTGTGTATAAAAACGCCGCGAAAAACGCCGTTTTATTTGGCACGCCGTAAAAAGCACCTGAGTTAAATATGAGTGTCACGGGCAAAGGGTCTGAATACTTATGACCATGTGATATTTCAGTTTTTCTTTTTTAATAAATTTGCAAAAATTTCTACATTTCTGTTTTTTTCTGTCAAGATGGGGTGCTGAGTGTACATTACTGAGAAATAAAATGAACTTTTTTGATTTTTGGAAAATGGCAGCAATGAAACAAAGAGTGAAAAATTTAAAGGGGTCTGAATACTTTTCGTACCCACTGTATATATATAATAATAAAATAAATGCAAAGACGCAAATTCGCTCCGGACGGCGCGTATGAGGTGTTTGTCACGCAATTTGCTGGTTCGCACAAGTTAAAATTTTTCAACTTGGCGAAAAATTCGCTTGACGCGATGTTGCGAAAGCCTATCAGCGGTGAAATTGTCCAAACGTCACGGGCGGCTTCGGAGCGTTGTTTGGAGAGGACAAGGCGAGCAGTGTAATGATTTACTTTAGTTTTTGGAATTACAACTTGATTTATCTAAACTCGCGCTTGTCGGCAGCTAGCTTCCGTGCACATCCGGTTCCACTGTTGCGTTGAATGGCACTACTACTTCATTTTTATCTAAAAACCGGACATTACTTGGAGAAAAGAAGGCGAGGAAGTTGAACTACCTGGTGAGTTTAGAACATGTGTGTCTGTAACTTTATTCCAGCTGTCGTTGTACTTTACTGTGAATAGGTTAGCATAGCATAGCCCTGATCGAACCGAACTCCATTCAGAAAACACGTATTTTGAAAGTTGTCGTCTTGCTGACAGACCTGACAAAGTATGAATTCATATGTCTAACAAAACGGCATAATATTGTAGTTATTTCGGCATAAGTTTGATCCGTTTATTGCAATTAAATCACAGCCAAGCGTTTACTTTCTGTTCATATAGCTGTAGTATTCGCGGGCTGTGCTTAAAACACGTGTGTGTGTGTGAACACTCAAAATGTCCAGCGGTCAAACTCGCGTGAGTGGGAACGCACCTTAAGAGTGATTCTTAGCTTTGAGAAATTTGTTAACTTGCTTTTATTCCTAAGTTTAAAAGTAGGAGTAAATTTCATGAATTCTCAGCACTTAAGACTAAAATGGCACTTTGAGAAGCTTGATAAATACCAGCCCAGACTTCTTTTTGCAACCCCCTGCTGTCCGTTACAGAGTATGCAGTTTTAAGTTCTGTTTGCATGTTTTCACTTTCAGACCCAGAGGTTGCCCTTGATTGAGATGAGAGAAATAACATTTTTGACAACCACTGGTAATGTAACTACAACTGTGGATTGGACAACGGTGCGCGCCAGGAGCTGCAAAACAACTGCAGGATGTTGAGTTTCAATATTTATTTTAATTAAATACTAATATTTTTGCACTGGCCCTATTGGGCCCCGGGCCATTGGGCCACCATAATTGTTGAGCCCTGGGTCTGATCTGCAACTACAGCAAACGTTTGGTTGAGATTATTGATACCAAGGAGGGTCAACCAGTTATTAAATCCAAGGGTTCACATACTTTTTCCACCCTGCACTGTGACTGTTTCCACGGTGTGTTCAGTAAAAACATTAAAAGATATAATTGTTTGTGTGGAGTTAGTTTGTCTGTTGTTTTGACATTTTATGATCAATTTATGCAGAAATCCAGGTAATCCCAAAGGGTTCACATATGTTTTCCTGCGACTGTAAATATACTGTGCATGTGATGTGCTGTGCAAAGCATCTGAAGTTACAGCGAAAAGTCACAGTTGGTTTATTTTGACCAAATTCCAGGACGGTATGCAAATTAAACCAACAAAGGTCCCAGTTCAGCAGAGCTTTTTGGTGTTGATTGCTATGGCAATACAAAAACATGGCAGGCAGTGTGAAAGTATCAAAGGAATCCCACAATCCTGAATAGTTTGTGTGCTGAACACACACCGCACGTGAGTGCACCTGAGGAGTAGACTTGTTTATGCATCAAATCAATTCAACAACTCTCCTGAAGACAAACAAACTGTACTCTCTGTACTCTCTCTGTACCCTGTACTTCAGTCTTTGTGTGCATTAGCAGCAGAGTGACTGAATAGAGAAAAAAGTTAACAATGCAACAAGCTGTTCAGGGTTACATTTTTACCCCGATAACAGTAAAATATGTGTAGAAAGCAGATATACGTCTCTGCCATTGCTTATCCACTTAGGAAAAATAAGTAAGAGTAGTATCTTTTCCTTTTCACTTGGAAAAAACTTCCTGCAAGTTTTATTGTGAAAAATCAGCCAAATGTCTTTCATCTGTAATAGTCCATGCATTGTTCAGCCTTTTTCCAAGTGACAAAACACTGTCAAATTGTTTTAAAAGTCAGCGCCCAAACAATATACTGTATAAAAAATGTCTAAACCAGGAAAAAAAGGTTGTAAAATTTACATTTAGGAGCAGACAAAAAGACCAATTAAAGGGCCATTTCTGTATTTTCAACTTTTTTTCCCCACATACACTACCGTTCAAAAGTTTGGGGTCACATTGAAATGTCCTTATTTTTGAAGGAAAAGCACTGTACTTTTCAATGAAGATAACTTTAAACTAGTCTTAACTTTGAAGAAATACACTCTATACATTGCTAATGTGGTAAATGACTATTCTAGCTGCAAATGTCTGGTTTTTGGTGCAATATCTACATAGGTGTATAGAGGCCCATTTCCAGCAACTATCACTCCAGTGTTCTAATGGTACAATGTGTTTGCTCATTGGCTCAGAAGGCTAATTGATGATTAGAAAACCCTTGTGCAATCATGTTCACACATCTGAAAACAGTTTAGGTCGTTACAGAAGCTACAAAACTGACCTTCCTTTGAGCAGATTGAGTTTCTGGAGCATCACATTTGTGGGGTCAATTAAACGCTCAAAATGGCCAGAAAAACAGAACTTTCATCTGAAACTCGACAGTCTATTCTTGTTCTTAGAAATGAAGGCTATTCCATGCGAGACATTGCTAAGAAATTGAAGATTTCCTACAACGGTGTGTACTACTCCCTTCAGAGGACAGCACAAACAGGCTCTAACCAGAGTAGAAAAAGAAGTGGGAGGCCGCGTTGCACAACTGAGCAAGAAGATAAGTACATTAGAGTCTCTAGTTTGAGAAACAGACGCCTCACAGGTCCCCAACTGGCATCTTCATTAAATAGTACCCGCAAAACACCAGTGTCAACATCTACAGTGAAGAGGCGGCTGCGGGATTCTGGGCTTCAGGGCAGAGTGGCAAAGAAAAAGCCATATCTGAGACTGGCCAATAAAAGAAAAAGATTAAGATGGGCAAAAGAACACAGACATTGGACAGAGGAAGACTGGAAAAAGTGTTGTGGACGGATGAATCCAAGTTTGAGGTGTTTGGATCACAAAGAAGAACGTTTGTGAGACGCAGAACAAATGAAAAGATGCTGGAAGAATGCCTGACGCCATCTGTTAAGCATGGTGGAGGTAATATGATGGTCTGGGGTTGCTTTGGTGCTGGTAAGGTGGGAGATTTGTACAGGGTAAAAGGGATTCTGAATAAGGAAGGCTATCACTCCATTTTGCAACGCCATGCCATACCCAGTGGACAGCGCTTGATTGGAGCCAATTTCATCCTACAACAGGACAATGACCCTAAACACACCTCCAAATTGTGCAAGAACTATTTAGAGCAGAAGCAGGCAGCTGGTATTCTATCGGTAATGGAGTGGCCAGCGCAGTCACCAGATCTGAACCCCATTGAGCTGTTGTGGGAGCAGCTTGACCGTATGGTACGCAAGAAGTGCCCATCCAACCAATCCAACTTGTGGGAGCTGCTTCTGGAAGCGTGGGGTGCAATTTCTCCAGATTACCTCAACAAATTAACAGCTAGAATGCCAAAGGTCTGCAATGCTGTAATTGCTGCAAATGGAGGATTCTTTGACGAAAGCAAAGTTTGATGTAAAAAAGATCTTATTTCAAATACAAATCATTATTTCTAACCTTGTCAATGTCTTGACTCCATTTTCTATTCATTTCACAACGTATGGTGGTGAATAAGTGTGACTTTTCAGGAAAACACAAAATTGTTTGGGTGACCCCAAACTTTTGAACGGTAGTGTATTTCTGTCGAAACGATGTACAAAGAGGTACAAAAAGTTTTGGAATCCGTGCAGTACATGGCTTCAGCCGGCAGCAACGAACAAAGGGTGTCACCGGGTGTCACTCGTAGGGATTCTTTCCGTGATGTTTTCAGACACCTTGTATTACAGGCTGAGCCTGTCTGTGGCAAAAATAATTACTTTTTGTGGACCTCATTTTGATGGCCGCAGTTGCCCCAAAGGAATACGTTGTAGCCACTGCAGCCAGCTGGAGGAATCGTACGTTTTGGACTCGCTAGTCGTGACCCCAAAATATGTGAAAATAGGTTTAAAAATACTGAAATTACTCTTTAACAGCAATTGATGACATATGCAAGAGCTGATGACAGGGCCAAAGATAATTAACATATATTTAGCAACAATTTCCTGTACCTTTAAGTCTATATTCTGAGTAGACACTGTCACCAAATATTTTCTGTTTTTTTACAGAACTCATTTATGAAGAGGTGATTGACTGGGAAGAGAGGAACAAGAATGGACTGATGAAAGAAGACTGCTCAGGTTTGTATTATGCACTACCTCAATTCATTATCTGACTCCTTGGGCACCAAATTGCTGGAAGGAGTGATGTCACAGCATAACTAGCTTGAGCTCACGTCTGGTTTCCTGGTTATTGAACTATAAATATTATCTAAATACTGTATCTCCTGGTTATCTCCATTATTGTGTCACATTTCAGATGTGGTGTCAGGCTCCGCCTCTCAGTCCTCATCAGCCAACGACATCTCATCCATGTCCACAGAGCAAACCTTGGCCTCGGACACAGACAGCAGCAGCATTGACACACTGACGGGACCGCTGGACGAGAGTCAGTGAACACAGTCCGTGGCCACATGTTTCTGCCTGCCTGCCTCAGCTCCCATTTACAATATCCAAATATCAATCAGCCATCATCTTTCTTCTCTTTACTCCCTCATCCTCTTCTTTCCACTTTAACATCAGTGAGACTGTTTTTTCTGTGTGATGTGGTGGATCTTGTTGATCCTCTTCATCTTCAGACTTTGTGTTACCTAGAGTCAAAGCTATCCATTTGTTTGGGTCAAAGGTTTGTCCTTTTCTTCTTCGTGGATATTGTTTATCTTCATCTTCAAGTATATATGACTTATGCATCCATATTGATTTTCAGGTTAACAGGGACTAAGTGAGGGATTGTTTTTTTGTTCTGTATGCCTGTATTTTAATAGTTTTATTTTTTTAGCAGATATTAAGTTGAGAGGTTATTGTCATCAAATTAGAGCAGACTGAGAGCACTGAACATAGACCACAGCTGCCAGCTGCGCTCATGCATGTTACGCCAATACTAACAAAAGCTTATCATAAGTCGATCGCACCGACCATCTGATGTCCATCTGACGATTAGCTAGCCCGCAGTATTGCAGATCTCCACAGTGGTGCTTTCTACACAGTTTTTTTTTATTTCATTGGCTTGAGTGATGTGGATTTTGAGCTTTTCCTCCTGACAGCTAGGAGAAACGGTGGCTGCATTATTAAAGTTTTATTTCCTGATATAATGTACTGTATGTAAAGATGTGATGATCCGACACTCATAGCGGCTGTAGAGCCTTTCACTGCTAATAGACAAGGTGCACTTGTTTTGTTAAGAAGCTCGACATATCTGTAAAACCATATATTGCAATCACCCACATTTCACATGAGGTACTAACTGTGTATATCAAAAGAACAGAGACAAAAAGATACATGTAGTGTTTATTTTTGTGTTCTTGCGAAATGTTGCACACAATCACATTGAGGCTGGTGTAAATGACGCCTCTGGTCATTTCACTGACAAATCCGTGCATTGGCTGCTCCTTTTCTAAATCATTCCATTAGTACCAGAGCAGTAGCAAGTCTAATCATGAATCAGACATCATTAAGAACTTATGTAAAGGCAGTAAAACACAAATAACAGTGTTTAATGTGCATGAAGGCATTATAGATGCCAATAAGAAACTGTAGTTCTTGTTATAAAGAGAAAACCATTCAGTCCAGTTCCATTTCTTACAGTACCTTGATGTTCTTGGTTTTGAAAGCCTGTTTGATGCAGTGTTGTATTTTGTGTGTGTGTGTGTGTGTGTGTGTGTGTGTTTTATCATCAAAAAGTACTGTGCAGCTCCTGTCTTTCATTATCTCCTTTGAGTCGTCCTTAAAGACAGCAGCCGCCTGGTTGCAAAGGCAGAGTGTATGGAGGACGTTGGCCCCTAAACATGTTGTGGTTTAAAATGAGGACGTGACTGTGGAGCCATGAATGAAAACCTGGACATTGAAACTCAAGATGGAGACTTAACGATGGACTGGGGAACTGCTTTTTGCAGAACTGATTGCACAATGGGATGGAAATACAGAAATATGACACTATGAAGTCACTGAGGACTTGAAGCACCATATTGTACGCTATGTTTTCCTTCGATAAACATGACCTTATTCTTTCAGTCATGCCTTAAATGACCAGAGGAGTGGCCAATTCTCTCCCTAAAATCTTATCTGATATGGACTAAGCTTTACAATGCTCAGAACATCTTGTGTTTTCCTTTTTGTTTGTTTTTTCAAAAGCTCCATTATATGCACTCTACATCTCACACAGTTTGTTTCTCCTTTTATTTTCAGAGATGTCCTGTGTAATTGCAATGACCACAATATAATCTCTTGGCCATCATCTTTTGCCCTTATGTAACTAATAAAGTGGACATCAGTGATTAATTTTCTTTCATTGATGTTGTTTTGTATATTTCTCACATTCTTAATGGAGGAATAATTGTACATCACGTAAACCTTTCCCAATTATAGGGAAGGAAATATTCTACATGAATAGTGACAAACTACTATACTAAATGAATCTAACTAGAGTTTAAAGACGAGCCAGTCTTGTGCCTTTTGTCCTTCGCTTTGCACCCACTGTTCATATCATCACACACAACTCAAGCATAGTTTCTGTACTCAAAAGCTCTTGACGATACATTCTGTCTTCTTGGCCTCATTGTTGAGCTCTCCAAAGGTGTCAAAGAACTGCTCCATCTCCTTCTGCAGCGTCGCATTGCGTAGTTCTGCGGTAGCCCGGGCCCTTTCGGACTCCATGATCTTAGCCTGGACTGCCTGGTACCACTGCCGTTGCTGCGCGAGGTTTGTTTTCAACCGAACAACCTCTACCTGCAAGTCTTCATTTCTTTGCTCTAGGCTGATCATAGAGGGAGAAGGGCAAGGACATCAAAATGACTGGGTGTATGCAAAAGGCTGAGAACTGTTACTCTCTTCTACCAATGAGCAGGGGTGAGAGGAGAGGACAGTATAGGGAATTTTTGGTCAATCTGGAACACGTACATTGATTGTTTGGTTTTAGCGGGTTTGATTCTTGATGCCTGATATAATTAGAAATGGCAGAACATGTGGCTCAGAAAGTTGGGTTCAACTGTACAATTAATCACTCTCCTCCCTGCATTCTATGTCAAGTCATTTTCCTCTCATCCTCGCCAACTAGTTCCAGTGACCTTAGACTGCGACTTGCTCTATCTATATCAGTAATGAATGAGGTATGTGTTGTGTCTAGGTCAGCAGCATGGCCCCTTAAATTAGCTCTCTTCCCTGTGCCATGATCTGTTTCTATAGGTCAGCCACACAGGCTGTGCTTCTTTTTTTCCACTAAAGCCAAATGGCTATTTACCAATAGGAAGCACAGTGAGTTTGTCTTTTACGTCAGTGGAAAAACCACAAACAGTACTTGGTACATCCAACTAGTTAAGATAGAATATGTGATGCATTGAGATTTCCACAGTAGACTGAAAACATGAACAGAAGTGGTTAAACAGATAATTAGGACTAATCTTAGTTCGGCCAATGTACATTAACATAGCATATCATGGGACACTTTAAAGAAATCTAATAACAGCTGTTAGTGCACTGTGAACTAAACAGGATATAGGGTGAAGCTTGGGGTCAACTGAGGCCCGGGAACATTGTGTCACCCTTCAATGGAAATAAACCAAGAGCTGGAAAATTCTCATAGGCAAGTCAGTGGACTGAGGCTGTAATACTGAAGCCTAGAGTATAAGCACATTCAAATTCATTTGTCTTTTACATAGTGTGCCTAATCTCTGTAAAGTGATTATGTGCGTGGTGTAGTTTGAAATGGAAATGCAAGACAAAACAAACGTAGCATTACCTGATTATCCGTGCCTCGTACTCCTCCCTCTGTCTGACAATTTGCTGTTGGAGGCTAGTGAGGAGGCTGCGAAGGGCACTGGCAGAGGGGTCTGCCAGGGGTACAGGAGGGGGCACCCTGGGAGAACAGGGTGGCTGCTCTGGGTGATGGGCTTCAGCTGGGGGCCACATAACCTGGCACACCGTTTGAGATAGCTGAGGGGAACATGCCGGAAGATCTTGTTGAGGAGGTGACATCGGGAGCTGGAGGTGCAGCATCAGGTCCCCCTGCTTAAATCCAAAGGATCCTGAGTCCAGCTCTGGCTCCTGTTCATGCTTCTTGTCTTGCTCTGGATTCTTGTCCTGGTTACTGGAACTGCTTCCAGCGAGGATGATCTCACAGGAGGACCAGGTGCTCTTGTCTTCACTCAGTCCCTCACCATCCATCAGCCCTTGGATCTGCACTGGGGCCCATGCAGGGTACATCTGCTCCTGCAAGTGCTCCTGGAGGCTTGTGTCCATGTCAAAGACCTCTTGGAGGCTGTCAGGGGTGACAGCGTCGGGGAGGTTATCATACAGAGACAGAGCACTCCTGTGCTCCTCACTCTGTGATGGAGTCAAGCCCTGATTCAGATGAGCTCTGTCCTTAACTCCCCAGCTATATCCCTGTTCTCCTCTTGCTCTGTTGATGCCTGGATCCAGCTCTGCTTCCCATCCCTGTCTTCCCAGAACTCCTCTCCAGCTGCAGTAGCTGTGATCTGGCCAGGCGCCAGTCCCTCTTCCCCCAATGACCAGTGTGGGAATCTCCGCCACAGCTGGGGCCAGACCAGGCAGTGGGCTACTGCAGGGCCCTGGGAGTCTGGTTACAGCCGGGCACACAACCCTACTCTCCATTTCCTTTTCCCTGGCCCTCCCTCGCTGGGCAAAAGGTGGGCAGTTATCGTATAGGGGGTCCGTGGAGCAGGAGCTGGCTGTGGTGGGTGTCTCAGTAGGAAGACAGTGCAGCTCCATGATCCAACCAGGCACACAGGGGTGCTGAGAGGCTTAGATAACTGCCCTCCCCTCCTATGTCTGCTGCAACTTGGGATTCTAGTCTTGGATTGTGGATTTGTGAGTGTGGGAAGAGGAAGGCGTACGAGCCCTTCTCCCCTTTGGCTGGCTCTCTGCTGTGCCCTGCTGCCTAGTGGTAGACAGGTTGTAGTGTGGGTGTGTGTGTGTGTGTGTGTATGTCTTTAAGCAGGACTGACATCAGCTGTTACTTTAGTACAGCTTCTGAGGGACGGACCAGGGTGTAATATAGTCTGGCTCATTCCTAAAGACAGTCACACGTAACCGCAACCACAGAAATAGACAGTGGCCAGGGGCACAAGGTGTGGAGCACACACAATGAACCCCATAATCTGCATGCAACATTTGAGCAGTAAAATCTGCCAAAACGAATGGAAAGAATGGATCCATTGCTTGTGGGGTTACCTTTGACTTTTAGTGCTTCCATGGGCCTATTACTTCAGCTGGGTCACTGATTTCCCTTCTCTGTTTTAATGCACTCAGTCTACACTGACACTGTAGGATGTGTTAACAGCCAATCGCTTGTTCTGTAGACAGAGTTCACCCCATGGAATCTGCTGCAGCACATTTATCACATATTTGAGAGCTGCCCAGGACCAAACCAGTGAATTGCTGTCATTGACAGGAGAAGAGGTGACAAAGCATATTGTGTTGCCAGGTGTTGTTAAATTATGGAGGTTGCAGATTTAACCCACGCTATACGGTAGGGAGGACAACTGTGCCTGATGTTCACTTAAGCTTTTGTGTTGTGTTTTTTTGGAGGAGTACAACTGAAGGACACAAAGATAGGAGGAATCATCACATGAGAGAGAGAAGAAGGGAGAAAAGCAATAACTGGATAAATGACAGGAACACACACACACAGACACACATAATAGTGTCGTGGTCAGTGTGTCTTAAAACCACAAGATGGAGCTATAGGCAACATCATGGAGGGGCTTTAAATGGGCGGTGTACCTTGAAATCATTTAAAGAGGTGGTATTATGCTCATTTTCAGGTTCAAAATCTTATTTAGAACAGGTTTACATGGTTTAATTTTCAAAAAACACCATATTTTTCTCATACTGCACATTGCAGCAGCTCCCTGATGCATCTTACTTGTACAAATCTTTGTTGGGAGTTGCACATGCGCAGTTCCCAGATAAGGACTACTAGCCAATTAGAAGCAGAGAAGGGCGGGTCATAAGAAACAAGGTAGTGTGATCCAAATCAAAGCTGCTTCAGACTGCGACCTTAACCTAGCAGATGGTATAAGTTACTCACAAGTCCACATCATTGTTCCACATCTTACCATAAACCACTACAAAAACTACTACTACTGTTTCAACTCAATTTTACATAAAAATTGGCCAAACAATTTGAATGTTTGCTCAGTAGCTTTCACATCAGGTGTAACATTAGCATTATAGCTATAACTTTAGCTGTGTTAGCCAACGTTTACAACAACTCTGCACTTGTACAGTCTGTGAAGTTACATTGCCGTGTTTATTTTAAATATAATTCACAACCAATAAAGCATACTTACAGGTTGTGATTGTGAATTTCCAGGTCCAAACTGAGTCGGAGTTGTATCGTCTTTTAGGACAACATTGAACTGTTGCCGGTGTTCTGACGATCTATGCTGCCTCGCTGAAAAATGCTACCATAGCGCAAATCGATAGACTCGACTCTACTCAGCCCTGCTCCGTTTTACATTGCAGGTAGTACCAGAGATAGTACGTAGCTTGTCGTCATAGCGACGCCACACACAACTGCCGCGACGTAATGTTCAATGCGACACACACTCCAGCGATCCACACAGCTTTCTCTTTTTTAAGTTAAAACGTTTCAACATTCCTCAGAATGTAAAGACAGATAAGCGGTATGAAAACCTTCAAGCTGTGTTTTCCTCTGCCGTTGTTGCTGCAGCGGTCTGTGTGACGGCGGGAGTAGAGGGCTCTGTGAGCGGACGGCTGGTCCCGCGGGTTGGCACAGGCTTCCCCTGCAGCCACTTGCAGAGCTCCTGAACTACAAAAATATTCAAGCACATCTTTGTTCCGCCATCACTTCTCGTAAAACTGTCAATATTCGAAATCTACACAGCTGATTTTTCACCTCAAAACTTCTACGAAGTGGATTTAGTGATGAAATTACATACGAAAAACGGAAAAATATAAAACTTTCTGTTGCTGGCCTCTTTCTGGCACACACAATGATGATACAGTGAATAGTGACGATTCTCTCTGACCAATCAGCAGTCTGACGTGTTTTCACGTTACATTTTAGTATCCCTCAGCTCGCTTGGAACCTCGACGGAGGTGAGGTGATACGAAAAAAAGTACCCGGAAGCAGGTACAGGTACAACATTTCTACAATGGAAAACCAAACAAAGGCGAGTCGAGCCAAAGGGCCTCCGCTCAGACTAGCTTGGTTTGAGGGCGTGCCTGACCCCCGCTAGCCGCTTGGCAAGCTTTATGACACGTTTTCATTGTGACGTCACAAGTAAAGGAAGTG